TAAGCATAAGCAGACCAGCTACACCCAGGTCGGGCCTGACCGAGTCGAAACTTGGAACGGGGAACAGGTGCACCCTAGACAAGTGTCATGCCCTTAACTACCTTCGATTCATGTACCTTCCCAACTTCACCACTCAATCAATTAAACACTCAACAGTGGAGCACAAGTTTATTTCTTCCCTTTTGCACTACCACCAACTCTTCACCGTCCAACATCCTCTCCGTACTGTGAGTCGCATGTCCCTTTTGCCTCTTGCCACCAACACCATCAGGACAAAATGCACTCGCTTCCATGAGGGGTAAAGCCATGCCTTCAAACTCACCACCGTCCATCACTTGAGCTCATTGACTCACCCAATGATTTCAACAATCCGCTCACTTTCCTAATCATTAATTCATTTGCCCATTTCGTCGCTAGCTGCCCGCCGATTTGCCAGTTCTCAGAACCAAATTGCAATCATCATGACACGCATCCTCGCTCGATAAAGGGATTTGCCGAGGTAGATGAAAAATGCAACAACAGGTAGTCTATCACTCATCGACAAAGTATAATCAAATCCACAAACTTCCTGCCTTCATGCTTGTCAACGTTTGCAATTTGTCTTCAGCTTCCAATGTTGGGTGATGAAGTGAATTTATTTGATCAACACGCACTATCTTCCTTCACTGCAGGTGAGCTTTGTCAAAGGAGTATTGCTGGTCTCTGAGTGTTCCCATTTTTGCCCACATCTCCCACAACGCGCAGTCGAACAGGCCTCCTTCTTGAGACCTCGCTTCTCTGTTATCTACTTGCACCAGTGGTAACCTTAAGCACATTCGAGAGAGGCAACTAAGCCTTACATCAAGTAGCATTTTCTAACCGCTCTGATCGTCTACAAGCATGCCGAAGAAGTTGTGTCTACCTTCGGTTTGGCAAGTGCTGTATGCAAAACATTTTAATGCTTGCGGCGAAAACGGCATGAGGATCGTTGCAGTCGGAAAGAGTTTGGAACCACACTTGTTATTGTACTCGGATTTCTGCTGATAAAATTGTAAGGCGGCTGGTAGTGGGAGAAGGTGTCTTGCATGACCATCCAACTTAATCATATTTGTATGACTCACATCGGTTTGCATGCGATGAAAGCAGTGTCGTCGTAAAGTCGTGAGCAATTTCATCGAACTGTCAAAATACTCTAATCATGGAGGTAAAGATGGAGCAACTGCTGTGCCATCATTTGCCCTCATCTTTTTTCGAATATTTGGTAAGGTGGAACAGGTGCCGACTACTCGGAGGGTGGTTAAGGCGCAGGGGCACGTGTTGAAAGCAGAAGGGAGAAGTAGACAGGCAGTTAAACACGAATAGATGTTTTCATTTACCCTCTCGAGGATGCAGTGTGCCTTTCCTCGGAAATGTGTTTTCTGGTTTGAATGCATGGCACGGGGTGGTGGTTGTCGTTTAGGTTTTGTTTGTATGTTAAAGCTAATGAGTCATCATGAAAATACCAGGCATGAGTCGAGAAAGCTGAGTTGATTACACTTCCGGCTTTGCCTGTTTTCGAGAGGATAGTAGTTGCAATGGCAGACAGGCAGATGCTTCCCTCTTTGTTAGCTTCTGTGAAAGTATTGTGTGGATTTCACATGCAAAAGAGATTGATTTAGTCTGGTCTCTGCCAAAGGAAGGCACTTTCTGGGATCGTTTTGAGGACAGGTCTTCTCTCTGCATAACGATTCATGCCAGACTCATCATTTTAAGTTGTGAATAGCTCAGCTTGCTACTGCTGTACGCATAGCAGAAGTTAACTGAGCAGTGATGTGCCAAAAAAAAATAGAACCTAGAGGATTGCAAAGCAAGTGGCACCTACTCAAATGCCAGAGGGCAAGTGTATGGGGTTACAAAGGGAAGAGTAGAGTAAAATGAGTAGAGAGATGAATAGGAATATTACTAAAAACGGCCAGGCAACACTAGGAAGGGGAAAGTGAAGTAAGTCATCAACTGGTCCCATGAAG